GGAACGTTTCGCCTCCCCCCTTCCTTGCACCGGCCCTGACCGCATGCGGAGTGTCTGCGGGGTGCCGTGGGCAGGGAGGGATGTAGGCCCTGACCTAGATCTGAGCTGGTACCAAGTCTCCATTGCTTGTGTTCTTTAGTCTGACCGCCCCACTGGGATGGGCCTGAAGGCCAGGGGCTCCCTGCTCCGGGGGCAGTCTCCTCTGCCAGGCTCCTTCTGCCCTGGCGGTGGGGTCCCTGCTCACTGACCCCCTCGCTTACGGTTGCCAGATTTCTAATAGCACAAAACCGAACACCCTAGCCCTGCCCCATGCCCCACCCCTTCCCCAAGGCCCCGCCCCTACTCACTATATTCCCCCTCCCTTGGTGGCTCGCTGTCCCCCACCCTAACTCATTTTCACTGGTCTGGGGCAGGGGGTTGGGGTGCAGGAAGGGGTGAGAGCTCCAAGTGGGGGGGGTGGGCTCCGGGGTGTGGCCAGAAATGAGGGGTTCAGGGTGCGGGAGGGGGCTCTGGGCTGGGGCAGGGAATTGGGGTGTGGGAGGGGTGAGTGCTCTGGCTGGGGCCGAGGATGAGAGGTTTGGGGTGCAGGAGGGGGCTCCAGGATGGGGTATGGAGCCAAGGGATTCAGACTGCAAGAGCAGACTGTGGGTTGAGGCAGGGGGTTGCGGTGCAGGAGGGGGTAGGGGCTCTGGGCTGGGGCTGGGGCTAAGGGGCTTGGGGTGCAGGAGGGGGCTCCAGGTTTGGGGGAGGCTCAGGGCTGGGGCAGGGGGTTGGGGCTCCTGGTTGGGGCATGGGCTTACCTCGGGCGGCTCCCGGTCAGCGGTGCAGCAGGGCTAAGGCAGGCTGCCTGCCCCACATTGTGCCCCGGAAGCAGCCAGCAGGTCCAGCTCCTAGGCGGAGGGACCAGGAGGCTCCACGCGCTGATCTCGCCCGTGGTTCCTGGCCAATGGGAGTGCAGAGCCGGTGCTCAGGGTGCCTAGGGGTACAGTGCGGTGCCAAGACAGGTAGGGACTAGCCTGCCTTAGACCCACAGCACTCTGCCAACCGGATTTTTAACATCCCAGTCGGCAGTGCTGACTGGAGCTGCCAGGGTCCCTTTTCGACCAGGCATTCCTGTCAAAAACTGGATACCTGGCAACCCTACCCTCCCTGCCCTTGCTGCATGCACCGCCCAGGTGTGACCTGTCCGTCTTGCTTCCAGGTACCCTGCTGCAGGACAAGAGGCTGGACTCGGTCACCTTGCTCTGCCTGACGTCCCTGCCCAGCTTCTGCATTCTCTTCACAGCGGCTGTGGTGCTGGAGGTGGGGGCAGCCTGGGAGGGCATGCTGCACTATGGCAGCGCTCTCTGGGCCTGTGTCCTGCTCAGCTGCCTGGGCTCCGTCCTCTACAACCTGGCCAGCTTCTGCGTCATCTCGCTGACCTCTGCCCTCACCATCCACATCCTGGGCAACTTCAATGTGGTGGGAAACCTGGTGCTGTCGCACCTCCTCTTCGGCAGCCACTTGAGCGGGCTCAGCTACGCGGGCATCGGCCTCACCCTCTCGGGGATGTTCCTGTACCACAACTGCGACCTCATTGCCAGCTACTGGGACTCCAGGCTGGCTCTGGGCCAGGGCCAGGCGAAGCCAGAATGAGTCCTGTGCTGGGGCAAAGTGCAACCCTTGGACTGTACAGACTGCAGTGCTCTGTGTGAGCGTGTGTGCATGTGTGCAAACGTGATCCCAGTTATACGCACACACATGTGAACACACTCTCTCCACAACCTTTAACACAGCCCAGCTGGACTCTGGTCACCCAGCATCGCCGCAGCAGTCACGTCTGGCACCATTGTGGTGAAGAGGCCTGTTGTGGTGTTGCACTTGGGGCGCCGATGCCAACGGCTGAGCCCTGGCCGGGGCCAGGAGCACAAAACTCAAGCAATGGCTCCCCTTGCCCTCAATAAAGCTCTATTTTTGTCCAGTCTTGTTACGTGGTGCTCCGAAGGAATGAAAACCGAGCTGGGCCGGGCGGGGGGAGTGTGCTGAGGGAGGGAAGGTAATGAAGGGACAGCATGGGGGGCAGTGTCCCTTGGTGAGGGAGATACCAAGGGGATGAGGGGGAACGGACCAAAAAGGAGTGTCTCTGGGTGAAGACACTGCAGGGGAGAAGCCTGGCTGGGGGCTGTGTCCCCCACTGAGGGAGAGTCAAAGCGGCAGCAATTCCCAATGGCTGGTTTTGGAGGGATTGTTTCCCAGGAAGTGCTGTTCCTGAAGGCTCCTGCACTCAGCACAGAGCTGGTTATGGCACAGCCCACGCCAGGGCTCCTCACTGCCCTGCTCACCAGAGCCGGCCCAGGGATGCGCTTACAGCCCTGGCCCACAGGCCAGCTGAGGGCGCGGGGTGGTGACCCTCCATACACACAGTACTATGGCAGCCGGAAGGCTCAGCCTGCAATCCCAGGCTGCCTTTCACTGTCTTCTAGCAGGGGAAGGCAAAATACGGGCTAGGGACAAGCTGAACCTTCCATGTACTAAAGCTGCGGTTCTTGGGGTCATGTCACTTGGGCCACATTGGGCGGATGGTGCATTTTCTGTTCCTATTATCCTTTGACAACAGAGCCTTCTCATGTTCCTGTTTATCCAGTTTTACCTGGCCTATGACATGCTCCGGCTGGGCGATGGAGCTGCAAACATTAACTCTTTCAAGCCCTGACTTGTGTCTAAATTCATAACCTTACTGTGCATGCTGCGATTTCACGTTGCTGAATAGTCCACAGAATTGTGCTTTGGCAGCTTGGCTTTCATTAAAAACAAACCAAAGTGACATCCCACAAAACATTCATATGCATAAACAGAACCCAGTTTACATGTGCATGCCTACGAGAACTCCTTGGGCCCACTCCCAGGGTTATAAAGATCAGCACAAACGTTTGCAGTTGGGGACAATGGCGAATACCCAGCTTTGTGAACAGGGGCCACTAACAAGGAGTTTCGAGATGAGTTCTCCAGGTGAAGGAGGAGCAAATACGGGACCCTTGGGGTAAGTGGCTGTCTGTAGTGTGTGTTTGTGTTTGGGGGGTTACTTTCTGTGTGCTGAGCTTGCGTTTGTTTGTTTGTTTGTTTGTTTGTTTGTTTGTAGGACCGTGTGCTGTAGCCGGCAATTGAAAGCTGTAAGCTTCTAAACAAGGTTTGAACTCTAGAAGCCTTAGTCAGGGGGCAGGGCTATCAGGGAGGCCAGGGCTTTATAAAGCAGTGAGTCAGCGACCAGGGGCTACTAACAGGGAGCTTTGAGAAGGAGTTTGGAAGGGGAGTGGGAAGGGGGGCGAGGTACACTTGCCATTCTTTAAAACCTTTAAACTAAACTATAATCAAAACTTCTTGATTTTAAAAAACACCCTATCTTAGGGTTACCATTCGTCTGGATTTACCCGGACATGTCCTCCTTTTTGTGCTAAAAATAGCGTCCGGGGGGAATTTGTAAAGCACTCAAAATGTCCGGGATTTCCCCCCTCCCCCGGCAGAGCAGAGCAGACCGAGCGGCTGGGAGGGCTGCAGGAAAGTCCCGGGCTGGACTCCGGAGCAGCTGTAGAGGAGCCGGATCCGCCCTGCATTCTGAGCAAGTATATCAGCACAAAGTGCAGCCCTCCCCTTTTGCAACTGGGAGCGGTTTCTGCCATGCAGCGTAGCAAAACGGGAGCGAGAGCACTTTGTGCTGATACAAGGGCAGCTCTCCCCTGCAGCCCGGTCCGGCAGCACTGTGCAGGGCCAGGGACCAGGTTTTGTTGTGCTGGGGAGCACAGCCACGTGTCGGGCTCGCACAGAGCCCAACACCCTGTTCTGAGCAGCAGGGTAAGGGGGCCAGGGGGCAGGAGAAGGGGCAGGGAGGTTCTGGATGGGGCAGTCAAGAAACGGGGGGGGCCTTTTTGGGGGGAGTGGAGAAAGTTTTGGGCAGTCAGGGTACAGGTAGGGGGTAGGGTCCTGGTGGGCAGTT